TTTTAACTCCAAACCTGGCAGAGATAGGTCCATAGTTACTATTGAAGTTGAATAGGAAGTCACATACTGGCAATTTACTGTGACCATGAAATTGACCTTTGACCTACTTTTTATGATGAACTGCTTTTTGCATGTTTTCTGGCCTTCAAATCTGCAAAATTGGCAAAGAAGTGCCCATGGTTGCTATTGAACTTGAATAGAAATTTGTATACTATGATATTGAAATTGACCTTTGACCTACTTTTTCACCATGAACTGAGCTTTGCATATTTTCTTGCCTCTCATATCTTTAAAACTAGCAGAGATGTGCCCATTGTTACCCCTAGGTTTTCTCTTTTGTCAGCATATATATATGCACCACTGACAACACATTTCAAGGTAAAAAAAATATGCCTTTTGTCTAGAGAATACAGGAGTGATCAAGGGTAGGAAAATGTAAGTCAATTTGAAAATCTGCTTGATTGTATCATTTTTAGTTATATTTTTTGCATATTTTGAGAACTCTTGTTGATTGCATTTTATAGAGCTTGTNCAACACATTTCAAGGTAAAAAAAATATGCCTTTTGTCTAGAGAATACAGGAGTGATCAAGGGTAGGAAAATGTAAGTCAATTTGAAAATCTGCTTGATTGTATCATTTTTAGTTATATTTTTTGCATATTTTGAGAACTCTTGTTGATTGCATTTTATAGAGCTTGTCAAGCACAAGACTGGTGATGGTGTCCCTTTTTGGAGGGGGGGGTCCATACGAATGCGCTTCCTCCAGCTGGTGGTACAATATCCGGAGGCGGTATCGCCTCTCTGATCCTGTAGTTTGAATAGCAGACACATAGATCTAACTAACAACAATATAAAATTTTGATGACATTGAAAATCAAAAGCTGATGTGCACGATAGTTTGAGGAGGACACGGCCACAGCAAGTAATGCATGAAATTTTGCTATATAACTTTATTATAACACCATATGCTTGTGTCGTTGTTAACTCTGTGGTATTATTGCTGCTCAAATTAATACCTGATATTATTTCTCAGGCTACCAAGTACATATCAACTTATTTTTGTGGCAATTGGCCTCCACATCATGTGTGCGGGTTATTATTATTATCATTATTATTATTATTATTATTTGTTCAAGCACATTTTGATAAAGTGGGCATGCTTTAACAAGAGAAAGTCAAAATTTATGCTGAAGATTAAAAGATTAAATCATCACTAGTATGTACAATTAAAGCTATTTGATTATGCATATTTGATTTTCAATTATATTGAGGTTTCTGCCTTTTTCTCTCGCCCTGAAATATATATATTACAATGAAATTGGTAGTGCTTTATTACATTTTTGCTTTATACTTTCAGATGCAAAAACTGTAGAAGTTGGTAAAGTTGTAGAGATTGATGTGAGCATAGATCAGGGGAAATGGTATTAGAGAAACTAGGAGGACAAGACATAGATAATGTAGTACATGCATATAGTAGATTCATCATCACAGCAAGGGTAGTTGGTGTGATCCTGTCCCTGAAGCTGTGCCACAAGTTTTCAACTGGTTGAGTCCTTACTAAGACAAGCCGCTGTCGTGTGAATTGCAATCATACATTCAGCTTATATGTGGCAGATTTATGACAAAAAAGACCTCCACAATATACTTCAAAGGAGTTATCCTTGCATCCACAGTATGCCTCATCAAAAGTACACAGTGACAGTGACTAGAACATAGTCTGCAAATAGTGAGGCAGTGAAGGCTGCAAGGTGCCAAGGTGCCATTGTTTTTCAGTATTAAGAATGACAGTATGTTTTTTTTAATTTTTTATTCATTTTTAACTCACTTTGTTCTTTAAAATGCCCATTCAGTTTAAGGTTGGTGGCAATATATGGTAAATCTGTCATGTCTGTATGTAGAATTTCTCTTGCTCAAATTTCTACATTTATTGAATGCATTATGAAGTTTCCTGACTGATTAATGAAGTTACTTGTAGAAATATCTTGCCTACATACATTTTGTGATATTTTTACTACTTTATACAGTACATAACAGCCATTCCACGAAAAAGGGTACAATTCTGAATAATACCTGTCGCAGCTTATTTTCGGTAGTAAAAGCATCTGCAATTTAGCTTTTTTCACCCTTTTTAAGCAGGAACCGATGTGTTCTACTTAAAAAACAACAATTAATATAGTACCACTTGCTTTGACGGGAACCCCGGGGGTCTATATGCCGCAAAAAGCACGATTTCGACGTGTCGCTTCGGTATTATAGCTGATTTGCCACAAGAAAAAGTTTATATTTTCCCGTATTTTAGTGTTTTTAGTCCTCAACTAATTTGAATTCATGTTTCTTTTTATCATACATGGTGTTCTCTGTCGAATTTGTTGGTTAGTTACGTCACTGTCATAGTTTAATCAATGTCGCTCAGTAACCCCTAACCTCCGTAACGCTTTTTTAAGTCAGTGTAATAATAAAAGAAAATGCTCTTAAATGGCCTTCCTGTGCATTTTTCAAACTCTTAATACATGAAGTTTAATAAAACAGTGCTATTTGTTAATTTTGAATGATGCGTTCCATCATAGAGAATGTTAACTCACAAAAGTCGGGGTGTCACATTTAAGAGCCTAACCTCAGTAACGGACCAAATTTGAAGAAAATGTTGCTTAAGAAAGTTAAAAACATCATTTTTGTTAAGCAAGGACCAACTTCTTCCTAAAAAATTCATTCAATAGTTATGCAAAGTTATCCCGAGGATAAAAACTGAAAAAGAGTGCGTGTCACCTTACATCCGTTATGCTAACCTCCGTTACGAAATAAGTTAATTGTTATAAAAATGACTGTTAATACTTTAAAACGTTATTTCTGTGGTTTTGTGAGTTAACTCTGATCATAAAAGTAGTTCTGCTTCTATGTCCTGATGTAGGCCTAGTATGCATTCATACGGCTTGCTGTTAAAGACATTACCCCGTATTAATATAGCTGATAATTCTATCAAGATAAGCTAACCATTTAAGTTTTTACTCGAGTTTGCTATAAAATCGAGGGTAAATCGTGATTTGTTTTTTCAAATTGATTTCCATTTGTCACTTGACGATGTTTTTGGAACTTATCATTCTGATTTTAAGCGAAATGAGGAGTTTTTAGGACTGTCTTGGCAAGAAAAATGGTAGTAGCTGACATCAGTACTAGCGTACATGTAGCAGACATTATTTTCGCGGGAGACATATGGCGAAATATATTAAGCATTGAAGCAACGCTTGTATTTATCAGGTAGAACTGCGGGGTCATTAGGCCCTATTTTACTGTTTCAGTAGCACATAATAGTTTTAACATCTTCTAGATGTTTCCAGTAACTTTAAATGGACAATTATCCGCAAACACGTGTCTATTGTCGGCCTACTTGATTGTA